CAGAGTTGCCAGATCGAGGGAAATTTCCCTTTTTCGGGGAAATTCTGGGGGGCGGAGGGAAAAAGGGAAAATATGCGAAAAAAAGGGAAATTCCTAGGAAATGTGAAATAATGTGCATATTTTCGTAAAAATCTGCCATATGTCACTATTTTTAGGTTGCATTACTCGTTTTCGCAACAAATGCTCTTGCAAATCTGGTTTATGGTTCCACTTTTCATCATTTTCCGTCCAAGACTGTTTGAATTTTCTGTCTTGGGTTGATGTCAGCGATGGCAACTATGTTTCTTGTTCATTTTATTTTTGCATTTATCTGTACAATATGAGTCCAAATGCATTCCCAAAAGCCTTGAATGTAACCCCGTAGACATCATAAAGGTTAAAAAACACGTCTTTTTATAATGAAAACGTATAATTCTGGTTTCAGGGAAATTTTGATAAAAAAAGGGAAATTTTCACCCTCCAGTAGGGAAAATCTCTCGACTCGGTCTGGCAACTCTGGTGAGACAGAGAGATCAGCTCGTGCGCGCAGGCTGGCAGTGGCAGCGGCGGCGAGCGAGACAACAGGCAGTCTAAAACTCGCAGTTACTCTTCGCACCACATCATAACGCATCGCTCTGCGACCTGAAGCTGGAGTTTGATTTTCTTTCGGAAAGCCCAACTCTACTCTTCCCTGTTTTTCAACACAGGTAGGTCAGTCATCCGTGAATCGGCTCGTAAAGCGTCCGTCAGTGCAATGTCTCGTCATTTCTCAACTTGTCCAGATTGTTGCTCGGAAACATATGCCAAAGGTGGAAAACACTTTCCAAAATTGTCAGTATACAGCCGCAAATCAACCAGAGTGCAGACTTCGTAGACACATGTGTTTTGATTAGCATACAGAATAAACGACGAAAATCACAGTTTGAAACCAGTTCCGCTAGTAGGTTATGGTGCTTTGTTGTGATCCCGCTCGACAGTTGCCTCACCGTGAGGAGTAGCCTGGGGGGAGCGCCGGGAGCGGGGTTAAGATTTTTCTCAAACGTGTCAACAATGTACTTTACTAAACTTGTGAAAGCAACTTTCCAGTGCGCCACAGCAAACTGCAGCCATTCATTGAGTGATTGATTTATGGCCGTGTGGCCGTGTTACTCAATATACGAGAGTGGGGACTATTTTCTGAGTACTCAATGTTTATGAGGGGCCGTGCATTAATTACGTATGTGATTTTTGGTCATTTACCCCTCCGCCCTCTCCTGTCAGCCATGTGTGTCATTTTTCGGTCGAGGACGACCCCCTCCCCCTCTCCCCCACTCTTTCGTGGTTTTTATTCCCTCTTTACGCTGACAACTGTTTTGACCCTTGAGGCCGATATATGAAGTTTCATAATCATAATAAACCTGAATTATAGCTAAAGTATTGATATTTAAAACAAAGCTTTTCACCATATGTTAAAACATTATGATTTCCATTTTCTTCTTCCCCACATTCTTCTGCTTTTCAGCTTTACTGAAATGCTTATTGGGACAACGCGTTTTCCACTAAAAACGTATAGTTTTTCACTAAACCAAGTTCTAAAACTTCCCCCCCTCCTCGCCCCTTGTCATCATTGTCAATTTTTCTCCGACGACCCCCCCCCTTTAAAACCCCTTCCGTAATTTATGAACGGCCTCTAATCTGAGCCGGGGATGGGGGCAGGAAAACGACCGGTTTACTACGAACGGACGAAACAGAAGCCTCAAGTCTGTGGCTAAATTTTGTATCGTTTGTGTCTGCATTAGCGATGGAGCAGCTCCCGGACGACGTGGTGCTGCAGGTGTTACGGCTCGTGGGCGTGGACGACCTCTTCTCGTGCCGCCTCGTGTGCAAGAGGCTCGGCGCCCTGGCCCTCCATCCCGCAGTGTGGCGGCACCGAAGATTCGACGGCGCCTCCTACAAGTTCTTCATCAAAGACGGCCCCAAGAAGATGTGTCGGCTGCTGCGCCTGGCGCCGCGCCTGGCCTCGATGACCGTCTCCGTCAAATCGACACCAGACCACCACCTCGCGCTGTACGCCACGACCAGGTGCGCGGTGCGTCGACTCAACTTGAGAGTGGCGGAGGCCGGCGGCGTGCCCGCCGCACTCATCGTGCGCAACCAGGAGGCGCTCGGCCAGCTGAAGATCGTCGAGGTCACGTTCTGCACAACGTGGGCCGACGCCGCCGTGCTCCTCGGGGCATTGGCGTCGACGTCCGTCGAGAAGCTCGATGTCCAGAGCTTCCGTCTGATGGGCGGACTCTCCGCGGGCAGCATGCACACTTCTGTGGCCCGGCCGTCCCTCAAGTACTTCAAGTGCCTTCTCAGCTCAAAGTCACAGCCCTTCGTCGACCTGGTGCTGGCGGGGCACGCGGCTACTCTGGAGGAGGTCCACCTCGGAGATGATGATGATCACATCACGATCTCGACGGGGTTGTTGCCCGCCTCTATGCCCAAGCTCCGAGAGCTCACCTGCTCGCTGCTCCCCGGCATGGAGACCCTAGCGCCGTCACTGACGAACGTGACGCTGCACGTGACGCCCGACATGCGACCAGGAGTCCTCGGCGCCACGGAGATGCTGCGGCGCGCCCCCAAGCTCCGCGTGCTCACCCTGAAGTACCGGCCCGCGGCCCGCACCTCGGCTTACGTCGGGGTCGATCTGGTCGAGGCCCTGGGCCTGGGGTGTTCGGGACGGTCCGTCGTGGAGGTGCTGGACATCGACAACGATTACGAGAACGAGCGCGAGGGCGAAGAGAACGACGACGGGGTGGAGTTCCTCCCTCAGCTGCAGCCGCTGGTCAGGACGCTTCCCCTTCTACCGTCCCTGCGGCACCTCGAGCTGAGTGTGTATGTCCCTCCGGACCCCCTTGTCGGTCCCCAAACAGGGGCCATTCAGTCCCCACGAGCGTACTGTTCCGGGCGCATGGAGACTGGTCTCAAACACGCCCAAAAGTGACGTAAAAACGCCCTCCGTGTGCCCTGGTCCCGTCCCTTAGTGGGAGGGGACTAGTGCGCAAACAGTGACCGTGCGCCGAGCCGAGCGTACTAAAAGCGTACTAGTCCCCTTTTGCCTGAAACAAAAATTAAATCGGCGCGAGGACTCATTGCGTACTAGTCCCATTTCCGTCTGCGCTCTCGGTTCCTACAGGCAGGTCTTATTTTAGAGAGGGTGGGCACACGGATTTTACCACTTGATTTCTAAATAATTGAGACTTTAAACAATTTTAATATTTGATATAATAACTGGCTTAAACTAATTCCTTTGTCACTAACCCTACAATTTACAATAACAAAAAAAAGTTACACCTTTAAAATGTGGTAATAATTGACAGTTTAAAACTGTTTGGAAATTGTAGACTTTTTTTTTTTTTTACAATGACCCGTCCTTCCTTTGTTCTCTTTCGATTGAGATTAGTTAGTTTAGAGAGAGGGCGAGGCGCCGGCCCGCCGTATGTACGTCGTTGGGCGTATGGTCATTTACGGCACTAAGCCCCCAGGTCAGAAGGGTCGACTGTCGATTGCGGATTGCGGCAGGGCCAAGGTGCGGATGGTCGTTTGCGGCGCGCGCGGGGAAAGCCAAGGGAAGAAAGAGACATTTCTCTCCAAACACTAGCTCTAATGTCGATTGTGCCGCATGATAGCGGTAAATACCAGGTGGCTGGTTAACCCCGCGCACGAGGGGTGGCCGACTCGCCTGAACCGTGTACGGAGTACTATATATTATAGGTATTATAAAAGTATTATAGAATATTATAGGTATTATAGAATATTATAAGTATTATAGAATATTACAGGATATTATAAATATTATGGTATTGTAGCCAGTATTATAAGGTATTATAAGATACTATAAAGTGTAACAGGTTACTCTTCTAAGCTAGAAGTTCCGGTGACACACTCCAGGTGCTTAACAATTGCTTAAGATTTACATCAGTTGACTACTTAAGCCCTTACATCAAAGTTGAGCTCCTAGTTTTAAACATGTTGTTTCTAGTTATATTTTAGAGTTAAACCGATTCAGTTGATAAAAACTGAGTAGGCATACTGTAAATAGGTTCCTCTTTAAAAAAATCAAACAAAACAAAAGTTCCGTAAACTTTGGGTTTGTGAAGAAACGACAACTTTTCCTACTTGAGTCATTTATCCCAATTATGCATTTCTAAAGCCAGAATAATGATAAAAACCTTTCCGTTTCTTTCTAAATATTTATTAGACAAGTCATTTTTGGCTAAACCAATGAAAATTGTAGAAAGTTACAATTTTATAGATTAAGAAAATAATTTTGAACCATATTGTGGATTTGATTTTTTTTAAATATGCACCAGAACTCTTATCTTGTTCTAAATAATACAATTCTGCAGTTGCCATTGGTTCAGCCCAAAATGACATGTCTAGCAAATATTTTGAAAGTAACTGAAAGGTTTTATTACAAGCCTGGCTTCAGAAATCTTGGCGTTAAGTCATAGTTGGGACAAATGACTCACATATGAAAAGTTGTTGATTCTTCACAAACCCACAGTTTACAGAACTAGTTTTTCTGTTTGATTTGTTTAAACAGGAGCCCACATACGTAATACCAACCCAGTTTTCATTAAGAGAAGCGTTTTAACTCAAAAAATAACCAGAAACAACATGTTTAAAACTAGGGGCTTAACTATTAACCTACACACATGCGTTTTAGGTATTATAAAGTATTATAGGTATTATAAAATATTATAGGTATTATACGGTACTATAGGGTCCGTGTACGGAGTATTATACGAGTCGGCCACCCCTCGCCCGCGCACTTCTATAGCTGGACTGTACCGCACGCTGGAGTTCGGGCGGGCTTGCCTATCGCCCCTGTCCACGGCGCCTTAGGGGCCGGGTGAGTAGGCAACCCGCCCGCACTCGTGCGTGCGGTACAGTCCAACTACAGAAGTGCGCGGGGTTAATCAGCCACGTGGTATCTAGCGTACACCAATATGAAATGTCATGGGTCCGCTAGCTCTCCGGGGACTCAGGTCCTCATGCAAAAGCGTTGCACGGATCGATAGCGGAGTGCAACACTTCATTGATAGTATATTTGCTTATTACCACAAACAGACACTGTACTGTCGTAATTAAATTCGCCATTTCAATTCGGGTCGAGGAGGAGCATAATTCGCTCAGAGCTTGAGCCCCTCTCCAGCCGCACGAGAGCTCGTGGGGCGCAAGCGAGGCGGGGCCGCATCCAAAGGAGATGGAAAGAGAACACTTCGCGCGAAGCAGCGCTCAAAACGCCAGCCGCGCGCAAATACTGGACCGACTATCCATCTATACTTCAGATTTCACGCCCAATTAAAAGTTGAGTCATATTGAATGGGCGTTACGGCCCGGGGCCTCGCCGGCCTCGGCTCCAAAACTTTATTCGGCCCCGCCAGCGCCCCCGGGCTGACTGGTCCGTCATGGGAGCGGGCTGATTTATGCAGCTCGAGCTCGCTGAAGGGCTGAAAGGGCTCTCCGCTTGTTCTCTGGGAGCGGCGGATAGGGGCGTGATGATGGACCCACTGCTCAGGCTGACCCGACCTACCGCACTTGAGTGTCAACCTCACTCCATCTCAGCACCCTTTCTTTCTTTCTTTCTTTCTTTCTTTCTTTCTTTCTTTCTTTCGTTCGTTCGTTCGTTCGTTCGTTCGTTCGTTCGTTCCGTCGGTCTCTCGCTCTCTCTTTCTCACTCGCTCCCCCTCCACCTATACCGCCGTCTCAAACAACAATAACGAAAGCTACAAAGGGAATCTGAGGGAATATGGAACATGGGCAGGCAAATAAAGATGGTCGGCCCATTCCTCGCCCTCCATGCCGACAGGATCTGCCTGCGGCGCAGCGCTTGCTGGTCGCCACAGTCCCGCACGCACTCACGTCTCGTGCGCATATACAACCCTGCCCCCTCCCCTCCCCCTGACGCCGGAAACAGCTCCCGCGGGCCGCCCTCCTACCCCTCCCCATCTTCCTTCACCTCTTGCCCATCCGCTATTCTCGGAGCGTCCCCCCGCCGGGCTGCCGGGCGTGGCGGGGCGTGCACGCATGTAGGTACTAACGGCCCCGCCACGCCCCGCCACGCCCCGCCACTTCGGCACGTGCGCGCACATACCGTACCGTGTGTTGCGGAGTTGGTTTGCAGTAGTGCCGCTGCGCGCCGCCAGTTCATCATACCGATACGTGTTGGTCGGCCGCTCATTGGCCGGCGCGCACGTGTCCCGCACGCGTCCCGCACGTGTCCCGCACACGCCCAGGGAGCCGCGTTGTGCCGGCGATAAACGGGGCGCCGCTGCCGTCCGCATGCATAGCACAGGGGACAAGTGTGCGCCAAAAAGTACCCGCCCGCGGCTCCCTAAATGTAGAGGGACATTTATTTTGTTCCGAAAAACTCAAACGATTTCGTGCACATCCAGAGACCAGATGTAATTGCATCCGATTTGGATGTGCACGAAAGTCCCTCTACACGTAGAGTGTGTAGGGAAAGGCACAGCAATCTTGGGTTGCGAGAGAAACCTTTTTTTACTTCAAGCAAAAATCTGCCATCATTATGCTTATAGACTTAACCGACAAATTAAATGCCACCCAAACCATTGTAAATTATGTTGTGAATTCCGTGGACAAACTATTTTCTACTGTTCTCAGCCTAGTACAGGTAAGCTTTTTGCTAGTGCTTGTTTGGGTGAAAACGTCCTTCTGTTGTTAATTAACCAAATCAGGATTTTAATGTAAAATATTACAATTTCTTTCAGAAACGTCTAGTTGATAAATGTGCAGAACTGGATGGTGTTCTTTCTCTGGAAGAAATAACTGACGTCACAAGTCAACTAATAGGTTGCTCTGTTTTTGATGGCTTGAAGAGCCCCGATGGCTTGCTAAGTTACATAAAACAAAATCACAGCTATGTTGCACCTGAGAAAGTAGTATTGCTCACCAAGAATGTAATGAAACGTGATAATGTAGCACAAAAAGATGTTGACTTTGGCTACATTATCCCATTTTTCAGCCTGCTTTGGAACAAGTGTTATCGTGTCCAGAAGTAATCAAGTGCGTGAAAAATCCCCAACCTGTCAAAGATGGTGAATTTTCTTCTGCTGTAGATGGTTATTATTACCAAAGCAATGATCATGTGAAAGATCACCCTCAAAATACTATTGGTATTGGTATCTACACTGATGGGGTAGAACCAACAGATACAGCCAGTAGTAAATCTGGAGTTCACAATGTGACATTAATATATTGGTCTCTACTGAATATTCCCCCCCAACTGCGATCATCTACTCGATCAATATTCCTTTTGGGAGCTGTTAATTCAAGAGTGCTAAAAAAATATGGCTATGAAAGAATTCTTGCTAACTTTATTGATATAATGAATAAGCTACAGAAAGGTTTAATCCTTGATATAAGTGGTGTTAAGGAAATATTTTATGGTGTTTTTGTATTTTGCTGTGGTGACTATCCAGCATTGGGTGCTATAGGTGGTTTTAAAGAAAGCCATTTCGCTGACCATCACTGTAGACACTGTTATGCTCACAGAGATGGTTGCTTTCTTCACTTTGATGAATCTTTTTTCCCCATGAGAACTAAGAAAAATCATGAGGATCAAGTTGAAGAAGTTCTTGCATACAATGGTGATAAAGCTCAGAGGGACCCTTCAGTTGAATACGGCATCAATAGTAAAAGTGTGTTGATGGGAATTGATGATTGTGACGTCACTAAAGTTTTACCTCAAGATTTAATGCATGTGGTAATAGAAGGGACCTTGAAACAAGAAATTTGTCTTTTACTGGCCCATGCTTTGCAAAGGGAGTCATCTATAAATTTAGATGTAATTAATAAGAGAATATCTAAGTTAGGAATTTTTTTTGGAGTAAACAAGCCCACTGTAATAACAGCAACTCACATTGAGAAACAAAACCTTCGACAATCAGCCGCAGAGACTCTGAATCTTGCATATATGCTTCCATTTGCTCTTAGAAAATTTAGCATTGTGACTAATCAGAGGGAGTCTGCTTGTGAACTAGTAAAGAGACAGGTACTTAAAGCCTTAGATATTCTATAGTACCTCTTGAATACAGCTACTGTATTTTGAACTGTTCCGGAAGAAATTTCACAAATAAGTTTTTTTTTTTTGTTTGTTATTTTTTTAAC